TGGTTATGCATTTTACTTGGGATCTGGTGTATTTTCTTGGTTCTCAAAGAAACAACAGGTGGTTGCTTTGTCCACAGCAGAAACGGAGTACATGGCGGCCACAAGTAGTGCTACTCAAGCACTTTGGTTGCAGAAAATGCTTGGATTCTTACAGCACAAGCAAGATGGTCCTACCATAATACTTTGTGATAGTTTGTCTGCTATTGAGTTGACAAAAAATCTAATTTTTCATGGACGCAGCAAGCATATTGACATCAAGTATCATTTTATTCGTGAGTTAGTTCAAGAGCAAGAAATTGCCATTGATTATTGTAGAAGCGAAGATCAAGTAGCTGATATTTTGACAAAACCGCTCAAATTGGAGATGTTCATGAAATTGAAGAAGATGCTCGGCATGGTGAAATTTGAAAATCTTGATTTAAGGGAGGCAATGTAGGAATTAAATCAAGATTATTATTTGTTAGTTGGAGTTGGTTGGAATTAGTATAGTTCAGGGCTACGTCTAGCTAATTGAGTTCAAGTCTAACTAGGATGCTTGATTTCCAATTTCAATGTGGTCTCTGATTATGGAGACTTGGTGCCTATATATACATATGTGTAGTACCAGTCTAATGTGAGTGTCATATGTAAAGTAGCCGAGAATTGGAAACAATTTGAGAAGTTTGCCTCCTGAAGCTTTTGTCACCTTTTGTTTCTTTCTTTAGCTGTTCCGTTTGTTTATAAACATTCCGCTGCCAAGCTATTCCTTTGAGTGTGTGATTCGCTTATATTATTTTATCTTGTGGGTTTGTTTCTTACAATGCCAGATAGGTTGATGTGGCTGTCACCGCTGTCATGCTCAAACCTACTTCTGACACCACAACCCTAGACTAATCCCTTGCAAGTAACGAGGAATAGGTTCCATCATTTCTCTTACCAGTTTCTTTACTATAAATACTCCCCTTCTTATTAGAGGAGGGGGAGGATTTTTGAAGCTTGATTTCTCTTTGACTCATAACTTGCTTAACAAGCGCTACTTCTACTCCTGATCCTTGACATAACTAATTTTAGTAGCCAGTGGCTCTCGTTGTTCTTGCCTTCACTTGACATTCGTGGAAATTAAATATGGTAGAGTCAGAATTCAGAATCATGAATCTCATGTTACTTGACTGAGGTGTTCTTCCAAGCTGAGTTTGATCTTGAACCTCAGTAAATCCCAAAATTGTCTAGCTCCTCCTAGTGGTTATTGGGCTGAAGCGGTTGCCTTTGTTTTACCCACAGAAACAATGGAATGGGCTGGCTGCGTGTTAACAAGATTTGTATGCCAAGGACAATTTACTTCCTCGGCTTGAATCGCTGAGGCATTTCTGTTCTTTTCTTTTCCCCCTTTTTTCCTTATTAACCTTCTCTTTGGTACCAAGTGAGGGAAACACATCAAGAGGCCTAATTGTAGATTCTCAAAATGCGGAAGCTCAATCAGGACACAAACACCCATCAAGACGCCTAATAGTTTGCACCATTAATTTTCAATAAGTGTTGTTGAACAATGTTTGATTTTGGTAATTAGCTTGAGGCCTTGTCCACCAATTCTTAGGCGGGATACTATTCACACGAAGAGTTCGAGTCACGGCAACCTGTTGCTCTGGTTTTCTCACAATCATAGAAAGTGCACTATAGTTTCATTAAATACAGAATGACCCCTGCCTCTTCTTCCTCCTGAAGCCTCACCTCCCTTTGGTCTTCTACACGCCGAAGAGATTAGTAATTGAGTTCTTAAAAGAAAATTTTATCAGAATATCCGTCAAATCCATCATAATACAGTCCCAGATTCAGTGGCTTCAATCAATCATCACACAATGGCTTGGCTACCCTCAATCCCTCTACCTCGCACGTTGGATGATATTTTATTTCAATTCTTCCACCATTTAATTTGAGGTCATGCACTCTGATTCTCTTACACTTGTACCCTTCCTAAAAGATACCCTCTAATTCGTATCCCAGAATCCAAGATATATCCAAATTGTTCGACCTTGTTTTGTTTTATCATTTCTTGGAAGTTTCCTACATTTGGGGGGGGGGAAACCGTTTGCAGTATTATTTCCACAGTCCATGATTGAACTGGCATCAAGGTTTTGGTATGAAACATTGCTTTTGTTTCTCTACTCCCTGCAATAGTATTGTTCTGTTCCACCAAAGACAGATAGACCTATATCCACTTATCAGGAGCACTGTTCTCAAGTGAATCCATGACAAGAATTTCGGTAACTCTAGATGCAATTATGTTGATTGGGATTTATTTCACCCCATCTATCTAAAACCACCATGCAATGAGAATCCTGAGCTACCTAAAAAAATTTCTACGAGAATCCTGAGCTACCTATACATATCTTTTCTTTATCTTTTCTATCGATACAATCACTAAACACACTACTGTTTTTAAGAGTATTCATAGTCCACCAAATTGTATGTGCGGCCAGGATATGTCCGTAACTAAAAATAGAGTTAGAGACTGTAATTCAAGTCTTTTCCTAGTAGTATAACTGTAAGAAGTCTATCTGACATTATTAACAATGATGGAGCCAAGGGAGGACAGAGGGGGGCCATGGCCCCTCCTAAGTTTTGAAAATTTTAATTCATAATATGTAAATATGTATGTAAAATAAAATTGGTCCCCCCTAAATTTTTATAATTTTAGTTTATATTATGAAAGTTGAGAGAGATATATATATATATATATATGAATTAGTCATCTTTGAATTAATTTTTTTCTTCAGAAAAAGTTATTTATTTTTTATTGTACTAATTATTTAACTTTCAAAAATTAAATATATAATTTGATATTCCATAATAAATTGACCCAATGTGATGTATTAGAATAAAAAGACCCAATTCATAATTGTTAAAAACAAGAACTAGTACGTCTAAGAATAGAACTTCAATATTTTGAGTTCGACATTCCAAATCATCATGAATTGCAAGAATTATTTGGTATTCAGGAGTTATGTCAAGACTTGGTGAAAATAAGAAAATCAGTGATATATTCTCTTATTGACAGATTTATTAGACTTGTTGTTACTCTTTCTATATCAACTGCAGCTACAAAGTGGGCATTTTCAATTATGAAAATAATCACGACAAAGCTCCGAAACAAGATGCAAGATAATTTTTTGAATGATTGTCTAACTGTGTATATAGAAAAAAAAGTTGCTGAAAAATTTAGCAGTGATTCAATCATAAATGAATTTAGTTCTATGAAAGAGCGTAGAGCTCAATTTACTTCTAAGAAAAGATATTGAAATTTCAAATTATATTAACATAACTTTTATCTTTTTTCAATTGAAAATAGTTACATTTATATTATATGGTTATATATATATATATATATATATATATTGCATAGGTGACATATTGGAGAGCATCTTCTCATAACATGCAAATTGGATGGTTTGTGATGTTATAAGATATTTAATCAAAAGTTATCTTTTTTGTTAATTTTTGTTATGACTATACTGCATATATATGAATAGACATACCATTATAATTAAATTTAATATTTGATATTTTTAGATGTCATATATTTAAATAGAAGAAAATTATTTTGAACATAATATATTAAGATAATTTTATTAAGAAAAAATTTTGGCCCCTCCCAAAAAAAAATCCTGGCTCAGTCACTGGTTATTAAGTTTCCAAAGGGGGGGGGGGGGAGCTACAAGAAATTCTCAAATCACTCGACCTGGATCATGATTCAGCAAACGCAACCACATTTACTGATTGGAATTCAGGAACTATACTTAAAAAACAAAGAGTGAAGCGAAAGGAATCAATAATTAGTGGAGATGCAGATTGCATAAAGCAGTCTGCTATTCCTCTACCAAAAAGGGCAAAAGAGAAAAATGGGTTGAACGCAAAGCCACCTTGATCAATTCGAGTTGGTCCTAGTGTCTGTCAACCGTTAAGCATCATTTATTGGGCAGAAAGTAGTACTCCGAGTACCGCATGATAGCACGTTTATCTTCTCCCTTTCCACCTTATTTTCACTTCGATTCTACGCTCATTAAAGTCAGCCAATTATGTTAGCGTCAATTTTATCCAACCCTTAAACAACACAGAAAGAACTAGCACAATTATATATTCGAATCCGTCATTCTAGCTTGCACGCACTTCAGCACCCAGAATTGCTAGAGAAGAATATCATCCCGGACATCCAAGTTAAAATTTCTCAAGTGTATGTATACCTGTCGAAGTCTGCTCCATTTCCCATAATGGTGTTTTTTTTTTAAAGTAAAATCGTTCAAAATGTCGTTCACATTTCGCCAAATAAATTTTTTTGGCATTTACTCTTAAAATAGTAACTTTACGTTCTTTACCAATCAAGTCGATAAAATTTAGTTCCAACTTATTTTTTTGACCATTTTGACCCTAAATTCATCATGTGACTAATATATGATAATTTTTTTCAGGACAAAAATGTTAAATCTTATTTGTAGTTAAATAAATGACTCGATTTCATAATCATTTTTGTCTAAAAAAAATAAGATTTGATCAAAATTATAAAAAAATGACTGCATGTTGATTATGCCGTGATTTCAAACTAAAAAGTAATTGAAAACTTCAAGCTCGGCATAACGGTAGTTGCATAATTCGACTGATAATGACTTGGAATGGACGACTGAAGTTCAATTATAGTTGGCACCATGGACAAGGGCAACAGCTGCAAAGCCATGCACGCCACACGTGCCCTTCATCCTAATAAGCAAGTGCAAGAGCCAACGTGGAAAAGATTCCAAGCGTTGGGCCTGGACTTTTTGGTCCTTTTCAGGAAAAAAAAAAAAAAAAGAAAGAAAGAACTTGAGTAGCAACTTTTCGCCTACCATCCATCACTAGTGAATTTCGAGGAAGGGTTGTGATTATTACAATATTATTTGCAATCTTAGAATTGAAAATTAAAAGACTATTGAAATGAAATAGTGGAAATAAAGAAAAGAAGCAAAACAAGAAAGAAGGAACTGACAAAAATATAACGAATGAACGATCTTCCATTTATTTCCTTATCTAGCAAAAAGAGGAGTACATTAGTAGAAAAGTATAAAATGGCCTTTTAAATATTTTGTCATGTATTGACAATTTCATTTCCAGAAGCAACTCAGAACCCTCCATAAGACTAATTTATACCTGTGGCTTAATTTCGAATATCGTACCTATGACTATGATTGTAATCCAATCCGTTCTGGCCACATTACTCAACAATTTAAATTCACCATTTGAGTATTGATATCTCGTTTTATACATTTAACTGTGAATTAATTAATACGTACGATACCTGTAAAACTCCTCGATATAAAACGAAATGGACCAAAACAACTGATAAATTTTAACCCATTAAAAAAGATATCCCATAATTTTCAGGATGCTAGATGGACCCACTGCGCTATACTTGGGACCCCTTGATTAACGGCAAACACCATATAATATCCAGGCGGCGCCACCCGACCGTCAGGCGGAGCCACACACCCAATCCTGTATCTTCCGGGTCCCTCAGGTATCGCGCTGGTCACCGACAGCTTCACAAGCCTCTGCCCCTGTGAGAAAGAGTGCGTCGCGAATGGTGCACTCGCCATATTCACCTCCACCACTCCCACCACCGGCAGCTCCACCGTCACTACAGCGTCGAAGGCTGCTCCGTAAGCTACCTTCTCCGGCAATTCCACAAATACCGGTCGAAGATTCGCCTTATCCGCCGATAGATATTCCGGCGAGAAAGATTCAATCCTCAGCTCCGTTGGAAACGCTCTTTTAAAGTTGTAAAAGTAATGCGGGTTACTCCCGGCGATCAAAATTCTCCCGTCAGGCAACAAGTTGGCTGTGGAATGGTACATCCTGGGCACGACACCCGGGTTCAAAGTCATAAACCGGAGCCCAACCGGTTGATCCGGTCTATAAAGAACCGGGTTTAAGCAGGGATTGGAGGCCAACTCGAAGCCCTGGGTCCCTGCCTGAGCCCCATTGATGATGACGACATCGCCAGTGGGTAAGACCACCATGTCACCCATAATTCTCGCGAAAGGCATGTCCTCCATCTCCCAAACCGGGTCGGGCCCCGTCGCCTCTATCCTCCCGCAGCTCCCGTTGGCAGGAGAATCTGTAGTCCTGTGTAAATACGCCCCGTATTTGGCTCCACCGCAGACGACTACCGTAGCAGATGAATAATCACCTGCTAAGGCCAGCATCGCCGATGATCCAGCTGAGGGATAGCTCCGCGGGCCCCCCTCCAAAACCGGATAATTCTTGACTATGCTGTGGCTGTTGTAGTCGTACATTACGGCCTTATTGTTGGCAAAAATGAAAAGATGACCGTTGGGGAGTAAGTGAACGTAGGGGTAAAGGTTGTCCATTTGATTATCTTCGACTTCGTTAAGGAAGGGGAAATTCACTGCGCCGGTTTTCCTAGGTGGATAAAATTCTACGCTAGGGGAAGCTCTACCGCCGATGATGATGATGGAGCCGTCCGGCAAAATTTGATTGGTGGCATACCATCTGCCTTGTGAGAGTTGAATATCTTCGAGTTCCTGCCAGTCACAGAGTGAAGAAGCAGAGTTGGGAGTACTTTCGGTACAGGGGGTGAACTTGCGGATTTTCGTGAATCCGTCGAGGTCGCCGCCGGTGCTTAGGAGGGTGCCATCGGGGAGGAATTGGCCGGAGGAGCACCAGGTGTCGGTGAGGATCATGAGGGGTCGGATGGAGTTGGTGGTGAGGTCGAGGAGGGCGGAGTGAGCGTAACAGTCTACTTTGAGAACGGGGTCGTTGGGGTCGTGGCGGCAGCGGTGGGGGGGAAGGAGCTTGCGGGACGGGCCGATGTTGGTTCGGTCCAGGAGGATTACGGTGTTGGTGTGGGTGACGGCGGTGTGCATTGAGGCTATCCCGGCGTCCGGGACGAGGAGTTCCCAGCTCCCCGGGAGGTCCGCATGCGTGCGGATAAACATGAATAAGATAAAGGTAAGAAGCTTCCAATTCCTGCTAGTAGTGCTCATTTGTTTTGTAAGTACAGTATTTTTGTTTGTTTGTTTCGGAGCAAATGAGGAGGGACCAAGAAGGAAGAAGAGTTGAGGCCGCGTTTATGAAAGTCCAAAAACATGCAATTGTTGAAGTCATCAAGCCATGAAGATGACCGAAACTCCAAAAAGACAGAAAAGGGCCTTGCTTTATGAAGGGTAAAAACTGGCACCGCCCACCAGGGAACTTCAACGAATCCAACTTATTTACTCTAATATAAAAAAGTGTGTCAAGTACGAAATATTAAATTTTGACTAGTATCCTATCCGAACTCATTTAAATGAATTAATAGTTACTAAATATATATACATATTAACATATATATATATTATATTTTATATATACATATTAATCATTATAAAATATGGAGTATATACTTATCAATATATAATTTTTGGATATGGGTATACTCCGCTCATATTCGAATCCGGATCCGGAAGATCAAGTGTAAGAGTCGTTGAGTATACAAGTCGAATTCTAAACAAATATGAATAAATGGATTTGGGTCTAGAATATTTAATTCTGATCCGAACCTAGTCCGTTAATAGGTTTACTCTTGTAGATTCTGTTATTCACAGAAACCAATTACTATTTACTACTAATTAAGCGCAGCTACTGATACAGCATTACACTGACTCTTTCTCTTTATTTTTTAAACACAACAGCTGTAGATAGCTTACAAATTAAAATACGTTCCATGCTCCGGTTAGAGTGACTGATTGACAAAGGAGTGAAATTTGTGGTGTAGATGTTGAAATTACTGTAGTATCATCGGTAGTTTATGATGATCAGCCCTTAGCAAAACCGTTTGTCACCGTCGCGTCCGGTGAGCCAAACTATGTTTTCTTTTAGAGTAAATGGCCAATAAGATCGCTAAACTGTTAAGTATGACATGGGTCAATTACCAAAAAAATTATTTTTGTGACCACAAAGGTCAATAAACTGGTAAAAAGGGGCCAGAGAGGTTATTTTGCAAAATTTTACCAGTAAAACAACTGACTGTCAAAAGTCATTTTGTCGAGAAGGTAATTGAATTTCAATGATTTACCAATTATTTTACCTGATAGAATTTGATAAAATGACTTTGGTGGCGCTCTTTGCTTGTTTAGTGATTGTTGTGGCCACGAAAAAAGTTTGATCGTACCATACTTTAATACTTAATAGTTCAGTGACCATTTTGGTCGTTCATCCTTTCTTTTACATCTGGTTCTTTTTGGCTTATTGTACTTCCCGTATTATCTTTTGGAAAGAATGGATATATGCTTTATCGATGAGTTGCATCATAATTTGTTTTCCCCAGAAAAAAAAGAAGTATATTCTAGTATTCTGAACATTTTATCGCTTTGATGCTGACTGCAATTGTGCTTGTTACTCGTATTGGGGTTTTATTGTAAGCGGCAAGGATAAGAATGGAGTGAAGAGAAGGTGAGGGTCTTCTTCTGGGGGCCGCCGTCATGTGATGTTCGTCTAAACACTTGTTGTCCACTGGACAAATGACCGTGTCATACCCATGCAACACTCTGCACTAAACGATTGAAAAAGAAATAGATAAATAAAGCCAAAAGCGTCTATGTTAAGGGCGAGGGAGATTGGATAAGAGAGGTTTCGCCTGATAATTCAACAGGTAAAACTTCATCTTGTAGAATTCATTCTGCAGGGGGTTCCATATTTTCATTGGAATTACTTAACTTTAAACCGGATAGAGAAGATGTACAAAATGAAAGCCGACAAATACAGTAATAAGATGTATCAGAAGTTACTACTGGAGATTGGAATGCTTTAGTTTCGCCTCTATCGTGACTGACCTAGTAGCATCTGGATGTATTAAGCCATTTCTTCGACTCCTCCACCCTCGTAGCAATCCGCCACCACCACCGTTGTCCTCTGCACGTTCTTGTAAGAATATTGCCGTGCAACAAGCACATATATAGCCAAGTTTACTGCTGTCATGCCTGCCAACAACCAATAAAAGTAGTCCAAGTGGCTGCTATTTATATCTTTCCCAAACCAACTCTTGCCAGTCCTCTCAGTTATGCGATCCACCATAGTTATCAAAGCACTGCTTAGGAAGTTTGCCACTCCAATTACACTTAGGTAAAACGCAATTCCTAAGCTTCTCATGGAATCCGGGACTTGGTCGTAGAAGTATTCTTGCAAGCCTACGAGAGTAAATCCATCTCCTATGCCAATGATTAGAAATTGCGGCACCAGCCAGAACACAGTCATTGATGTTGAAGCTTTAGATGGATTTTCTTCCACAACACCCAGTCTCTTTCTTTCTACCAGAGCTGCAACCACCATTGTCAATAGTGAGAAAACCATCCCAATGCCGATCCTGGGCAGAATCTGGATTCCCCTTTCGTTCCCTCTTAGCCTTCTTAAGAATGGTATCAGTATTCTGTCGTAAACAGAGACAGAAACTAGCATTCCTATGGCTGCAATGCAATAAATTGACGCTGGTGGAATGAGAAAACCACCAATGATCTTGCGATTTAGTACTGTCCCTTGTTTGATGAAGAATGTTGAGGCTTGTGCCACGCAAATACCAAATTGCAAAGTTGTTAGCCAAATAGGAATCATGTTGATTACTAGTTTCAGTTCTTCCACCTTAGTTACAGTTGCAAGTCTCCATGGAGATTGCTTTTTGTCGGCTGAACAATTTTGTTTGTCATCAACAATTGCAGCTTTGTCAAGAAACCTGAAAGGTGCATGTACGATAGCTTTATATATGGTGATTTCATGGTTTTTGCAGTCGCAATGTGGTAATTAATAAAAACAGAAAATAGATACTCAATTTTAAGACCAAGTTTAGTTCTTACTTGAGCCTCTGAGTGTGACATAAAAGCGTTCCCTGTGTCTCTGCGAATTTGGAAACCTCGTATAAATCACCAGCAGTTGAAGGATATGGTAGTTTCCTCTTGGAAATTGCTGCAACGATAACTTGAAGCATTGGTGTAAATGGACTTCCACTTGGCCGCCGGTAGCGATAAAAAGGTTTTCCAACGCAGAAGATCACAATTGTGCAAGCCATCACCACTGTAAGAATGATGTCTGCCATACCCCAGCTGACGTGTTCTTGCACGTAAACGATAAGAGTAACTGCTAGTAACAGTCCACAGCAGAGACCAAAGTTCCACCAATTGAAAAATGACATTTTGTGCCTTCTTTCAGCTGGATGATTATCATCAAACTGGTCAGCTCCAAAACTCTCCAGTGATGGCTTGTGTCCTCCTGTTGCGATGGAGATCAAATAGATGCCAAGGAAGAATATCACTTCATGGACCTTCCTGGGGCCGAGGCAAATGCCAATATTGTCACAGGGTTTCAAAGCAGGGATCGTACTAGACATCGTTAAGAGAAGCAGACCCTGGCATTGAGAAAATGGAATTAAAAAACTAAATTTGCTTCTAGGAGATAAGATCAAACAGTAACGCAAGAACAAGCATCCTAATAGTTCTCTATTATCTTTTGAGTAATAATTGTGCTGCTTTATGCCTTTCATATCTTTGCTATTCCTGTCATCAAGACAGGCGTTCTTTTTTTGTACTTCAAAGCTAGCAGTTTACCATGATATAGATGATGCATGAGATGAGGACTGTGGAGAAACGGCCCAGGTATGCATCAGCTAAGAATCCTCCAAGAAGTGGCATCATGGTGGTTACCCCAGACCAATAATTGACACCCTTTGCTGCCGTTTTGAGATCTTCATGGATCACTTTAGTCAGATAAATGATTAAGCTTGTTGCTATTCCAAAATAGCTCAACCTCTCGCTGAATTCAACAGCTGCATGTCAAAAGATTATAGTCCCTTGTGAGAATATAAGTATCATGCTCACGATATTGAAATCGAGTTACTTGTCTGCTATAAATCAGGTTTTCAGTTCTTATATTTTTTAGAAAAAAAAAAATTCTCTCCCATTTTTTCGTAAGCACTAAATGAGAGCCCAAGTTTCTCAGCGACATTAAGTATTCTATCATAATTAAAAGTGCAGACGTGTGTTGCCAGCCTTCATGCCATGAGCTCAGGATGGAGAGGCTCACTAAATTTTTCCTCTATGGTATTGAAAAGCTCACTGAACTGCCGGCGGACTTTTAAGGGGAACAGAAGATGGAAACATAGAGAGTATGTGCAGTCCCTAAGCATGCTTCTCTTAATTAATATTTCTGCTTCCCAAAGAAACTATGTACGCTTGCATCAATGATATGCAAAGAAAATCGTTACTGTAATGCAAAAGTAATCTTTTTCCAATCATCTCTAGTTACTAAAATAAACTCAGAAACGACCTGTTTGGAATGGGTAGTCAGAAATAATGGACGTAATTAGTTGGCTAAACGTCGTACCAATGATAAAGAGCGAGGCCTTCCAGACGCCTGTTGTAGCGCGACAGGGGACTCTACCTTTATGATCCACGGAAGCATCATAAACCCATTTCTCCTCGTCAATTTCTACTGGTTCTCCTTTCTTTACTGGATCCATCTTTACTTTTGCGTCCATTACGAAACAAAAATTGGCTGATAAGACTCTCAAGAGTTGGAAGAGGATATTTGAGAGCAGAGAAGGGCTGACAGCTTATTAGTGTGTGTGGTGCTCAATAGATTGCTTGGTACCTCTATATATAGGGAAGGATCAGTTCAATCTTTAAGCTCAATGCTGATTGCTGTTGACAAATTTTTCAAATAAAACGAGATCGATAAAGGGTATGGAGAAATTAAGGTGTCTTATCAGTGATGTGACGCTCAAAAAAGCATCATTCCGTCCACTAAAGCCTAAAGGCATCCATGTTCCAATTGATCATTAGAGTCTACTCCATCATCAAAGCTAAGACAAATGTAGTGATCGTTACGACGATAGCTATCCTCCCTCTTAAAACAGTGGATGAATAAATGCAGGACACTTCAACTGGGTCCTAGTAAAGCTTGAAAACTACAAACCAATCCGCTTAGCTTCAGTACATAGTATTAAAGATGTGTTAGGTGATGGCTTTCTTGTTTATTTTGCGAAGAAGGTTTGGACCTGTAAGTGTGAGAGGCAGCAGTTCTTGTGGGATACCAGGGCAGCAAGGGAAGTGATAACTGATATACTTCCTTTTCACCTCCATTGTTGTGTCAAATTCAATTGAAAATCAGTCGGGCTCATGAAATTTCGCATTACAAAGTATTCATATGAGCGCGAATATTGCTAACTTTTAAGCTAGTCTATGAAGATGCCTGGAACAGGATTTCCAAATAGCATTGTTTATTTTAACCTCTATTTTTTTTCCCTTCTAGTGGACATTTTTTTTTCCTGCCCCAACTCATTTACTCAGCTATTGACATTGAGGATAATCATAAGTAATTCAAGATGAAAGAACATCTTTATGTAAATTATTGTATTGATCAGCCAGTGAAATCAATTTACTTCTCGGAAAGATGATAAAGAACAGAATCTGGCACAAGAAGAGTAGTGACATATTTGTCGATTGGTTCCGTGACAGCAAAGCAACTAATCCGAAATGCCAAGAAGCTTAGAACCAATGTGTGTGCATTAGGAGGAAGAACATATTCACGATGAGCAATCATTGTCTTAGCTAGTTGCACTTCTCTTAGAGCTCCATCTACTTCAAAGAGTCCAAGTATACTTGCATCATGAGGAGTGCATATCAACCGCTAGTTTTGGAAAATGACCCCTCCGCAAAAAATTTACAACCTTTTTGCGTTCATATGTCTTTATTATAATACAAAACGATATTGCATATAAAGTGCTGCCTAGTTCCCCAGGCGTTGACTGTGAAGGCTGAAGCTGTCTTAGTAGTACTTTCTTAGTCCACACAAGAAAGGGTGAAGCGTAGTAGACGGGATTAAAGTTTGATACAACCTTCCCTCCCATTAATTGTCATATTTAAGTGATTTTACTTAAAAAATTTAGATGAATGCATAGTGCATCCTTTTAGTTTGACAGTGGTTCAATCCCCTTCAACTTATCCCTGAATCTCCTCTTCTCTTTACTTAGTGTAAGATATATTAGATTATACAACAGTTATCGTCTGAAAAAAAAAAAATAGACGAGAAGAGAATTAAAGCCATTAAAGGGTGGTGGAGACATGAAAGATTGACGTTAGATGAGAGGGGGAAAAAAATCACTAATAATGTCCGACCTCAACTATAAGAAGCTAAAGATAGGAAATGCACCGTCATTTATCAAGAAATTATAAGGGAGAAACAAAAAAAATACTTCAAGAGGAGTGCAACGTGCAATCCGTGGTCAATCTCCTACGCGTAGAAGGCATATATTCACCATTGCACATAATAATCCGCGAAAAAGACGTATCAAAGAGGGAAGGACTTTCAGAGCTTCTTGGGCCAAAATGGAACATGATATTAGACAGTTGTGATTTCCAAAAGAAGAAAAAATATATATATATAGTTTATCATATTCGCAACAAGCATTTGCATGCGGAACTCCTTTTGTCTTTATTACTCTTTCGAATGATTTTAGGCCTGAATTAATTGAAATATAACCTCGAAGCGTGGGTTGGTCAAAGTTGGGAAGCGTTCTTCAATCTTCATAACAAGTTTTTCTTTGTCCGGCTTTCTAAAGAAATTTATGTTGAAATGAAGTAAAATCACAAAGCTACATATGGGCTAAGAAACATTCAACGATGCCGTCAAAGCTCAATTACACTAAACCCCCTGAAGAAAAGTTTTTGCCACGGATTTGCCCCTAATATCTTCTAATCGGCACTTTACCCCTGTGACTTAGTGCCCCAACTTCATGGCTCGTATTTACATTCAAATTGACAGAAGAATGAAATCTATGCAGCTAAACACTCGAGTACGTAGATTTGCTCACCTTTCTTTTTCTTTCTTCTTTTATTTTCTAGATTTTCTTCCCTATGCTAGTACTATTTATTTACATGCTTTGAATAATTTACCAAATTAATCAGTATACATAATCCGTCTATTTTATTTGTCAATTTCCACTCTTAATTAATGCGTCATGGTCTATATCACAAGATATTTTATGCTGTTTACGTTGGAAAGCATATTTAAGCTAGAATCAATATGCCATAGCATACATATGGACAAGTTAGATGTTATAATTCATTAGTCATTACCTATTGACTATTAGAAGTAGACATGCCAAAATAATTTTTTAAAAAGATTTTCAAAGAAGATTGATAATTTTATATTTGATGCAATTGTATCAGTGGACAAAGTGTGCTGTTCCCGGCCTTGTGTTTTCAAAAGAGCTTTTGATCGTTCAAGGGTTAGTTGGCAACGAGACTTGACAACATCAAGTCATCGTATCATCTTCTTGGATGGATTTTTTTCCTTTGTGGTTTCGCTCCTCCTAAGATGGATACTTTGGTTTGCCATCAGTATCATGCCATGCTACAGTATTATGATTGCTGAGCTCTGCGTCTGTTCTGTTGTGCTTCTTCTTAACAGTGCTTCTGTTATGCTGCTAGTGTCTGGCACTCGTAATTGTGCCCCAAGTGTTAAAACAGTTTTCAACCTTTCCACTGCCTTAACAGTAATCCAATCCAAGTTGTGGCACGGAATTTGAGCTACGTCGGTGTTTTGTTTTTGTCTCTTTTAGTGGAATTATTGATTGTTGACTCCAGGGAAAAGTGTCGACGAGAAGAATTCTGGGGGCAAGGTGCAAGAAACACCTAACTACAAAGGCTTTTGGGTAACTAGGCCTTCTTTTGATAACTTCAATAATTAAGCAAAAAATTTGGTTGTGTTTGGATTGTATTTTTCATGAAAAAATTACTGTAGCGATTTGATGTACGTGAGAGAAAAAGGTAATAGAGAAATGTGATTACGAAAAACGACGTAATTTTTCGACGTAAAACAGCGATCCAAACAAGGCGCTTTCCAAATCCATTCTTTTAACACCTGAAATGGGCGTTAATGTCAGGTCGGCAGTCGGCTGCAGAGATTATAGTCAACCAAACACTAACTGCTATGTATATATATATCTCTCTCTCTAGTGGTGGTCCGAGCATTCTTGACGCTACCAAGATGATCACGATGGCACTGTCTCTATATATATATGTATGTATATATATTCTGCGAGAGTATGATATTATATTATTTGAATTCCAACCCTAAACTAAGCGAAGTGCGAGAATTGTTATAGCATTTACCAGTAAAAAGTTTGCAATCTGCTATTTCTAATGATGATCCTTTTTGCTCATCAACCAACCTTGTAATCCACCAAGGATTACAGTGCAATTAATTTATTATATAAAATAAAAAAAAAAATCTCCCTATTGAGGGCTTCAAGGATAACCACTAATGCACCTCAAAATAGTTATGCATGTTTTTCTCGTTCTTGAATTCATCTCGAAAGTCAGATTCACCGAATCAAATGCTAAACTGTACTGCACGCAAGCAAAGGTAAACTGAATCACTGAATCTCGAAAATCTTTGCTTGATTTGCCACCACTTCTGAGGTAAAGACTCAATCATATACTACCATATGTGTAGGCAAACGTAAACAATCAAACTTTCTCTTTCTGGATCGAGTACATTCCTTTTGACTTGTGACGAAGAGATTAGGGGGCTAGTCCCGTCATGAAAACTTTGACGGGGGTGAATCGGATGAGCATTCCGGAGTCCAGGAAGCTAGTCCGCCGAAATCCTAAAATTCAGCATGTTTTGCATGTGCTGGGAAACTGGAGAGAAGCGAAACGTGAAATCTTAGCAAAATTTGTTCCGTGTGCCTTTGTTTATGGGACTGTCGACTGTGAAGAATGTATTCCAATCTTAAGACGGAAGGCAGAAATTTGGTAAACGAAATTCCCCATTTCTGATTTCTCTACCTGCATGTTTCTGTGATACAGACACAGACAACACATGCGTTTATTGCGGATTACGTGATCTGTGTCCTATTTACTACTACTCGATGTGGAGGAGCAGCAGATGTGGTGGGTTCTTGAGATTCTACTCTATTTTCTTCACCACACGAATATTTCCTAATGGAATATAAAAAGTTTTCGGGGTCAGAAAGCTAAAGCTGTTCCCTACGTCACGAATTGGATTGGCTGTTCCCATATGAATCTTTCTCAATCCGTCTAAATAAAGATCTCCACTTTCCTTGGGTTTTCCTAGGTGCTTAGTAAATGCACATCCATTTCTTGTCCTTTCACACTTAAAAAGGATTTTTCAAATTTAACTTCACTTTTCCAAATGTTAACCTATTGAAATTCATTTTGACATGTACCCATCAAAATACAGATCACGGGCAGGTGCAATCGTTCCTAACGAATTTTATATATTTTGCATACGATATAATTTTATTTGCACATGACGTAACTTCATTTGCATAACGTATAACTTTAAAACAAATTTTTGTGAACCTCACACACGTTGTTAAAAATGAGATACAAGAAATGATCTGAATCATACAATTTTTTTAAACCAGATCCTGGCCGTGCACTGTTCAGGGACGGTATTTCTGATGATCATCCTTGTCCCGTCTCCTCAAAACACCCATTTGTCATATCATAACCTTTTTATTAAAACGAGACTTGAATATAAGCTGGATCTTGCCTCCCACTAATTGTCATATTAAAAAATGACTTTGTTTAAAAAATTCAGACGGATGTATAATGCACTCGTTTGGTCCGTTGGTGGTTCAATTCTCTCAGAATTATTCCTGGACCTCCTTAGATCTGTCCCTCCCCTAGTGTAAAATAGATTAGATTATATAACCGTTATCATCTATGGGAAAAAAAACAAAAAAGAATATAAGGTGGACCTGGCGTTACTTTTTTTCTTCAAGGTATAGATTTTTTCATACAAGCATATGCAATTCTAAGCAAAAATTCTAAAGTTTATATATGGTTATTTCATCCCCTTTTATGTGCTTCAAATAAGTTGTCATTGCTGATCATAGAGAAACAGGTGCCACCATTAGTAATGAAAGAAGAGAGAGATGAATAGATACTCGAATTCCAATAAATTGCAGTATCTTCTCGCTAACACTGAATCGGAAGACCTCCAACCACGCCGCAGAATCTCTAGTAGCTTGGGTCATCTTGAACCACAAACTTTGTCTAAAATCATAAACATTAATTAAGAATTCCATGCATAGAATGGTATCCACAAACCATGATGGAGTTGAAACCCTACGTGTTTACAGTGGTGGTGACAGCACTAGTCAAAGCACCATGTATTGGGCGTTGAATGGCACCAGCAAAGATAGACTTAGGGTCATTTGGACCTGTGCTTTCCATGATTAAAGAGAAATTGCTAATGTGAAATCATTCACATCACCACAGACAACGGCCACTCCATCGCAGCGCCCGCACCAGGTACTGGATACAAACAGTTTAATCACTTCAGATTTTATCACCCACGTCACATAAAAAGGAATCCCCTGCCGGTAAGGAATTTATCCTGATAGTTTGGTCACTATTTTAGTCGGTTCATAATATGATCTAAAATGGACACTTCACCAAGCACAAGAGACCAGAACAAACTCCACTAAAAACAGTTCCACCAAATGCGAAGAATTGAAGCAGGCAAGAATACAAAGCAACCAACAAAGTCTCAGATACATAAAAAGGGTGGAAAATTTCCAATTTGACAAGGCCTCATAAACCGTTCAAAAGTTGCAACTCTCCGTCGGCCACCGGCCACGGAAAAAAGTAAAGCTAGCTAGTATCAAAGGTCCAGCATGCCTACAGAGAAAAACAAAAGAAACAAATGGCCTTGCCCTAATAACTAACACACAAGTTTAGAACTTTTTACAGCAATGCAAACTAATGTTATCATCATTTCAAAGGACAGCGAAGTCAGTCAAGAAAGTCAAGCAAAAACTGATGCACAAATTCTCCCATCATTTTGTTTCAAAGAGAACTCATTCCTATGCTACAGTTGTCCAAAATTGTAGATTCTGACAATGAAAGATTGACCATCTGCAAGAATGATCCGTACAATTGTTCAACTAATTACACATAAATATTCATTGCATAAAGATACTTGCCATAAAGGTTTAACTCGCATATCAAGACCCCAAAAAGGAGGACACAATTTCTGACTCTATAAATCATTGCTTCATGAGTCATGACAACCATAATGAAAATGCAGTGAGCACATTATCCCAGTTTAAATTGTATTCCAATGTCAAAACTCGTAATCAGGAGATATTATGACTTCCCTAGCAGAAAGGATGCGTAAACTATACATGCTTTTAGAAGGTTGAGATGATCTTGAGTGATTCAGTAATAACCATATGATATATGTCACCCATCGGCCCAGCAAAGAAGCAAATACAGTGGCCCTCAACAGAGCACCAAGACACATGCCGCTGCAGTATACCAGGTGTACGTGGTTCACCATAACAGGCAAAATGCTCTCCATTTATTAAATCCGTTGCCTTATACTTGCTGCGCCTAACCTCTGTAGAGCTGTTTTCCTAATCCACCACATTCTCAAGTCCTAAAAAATGTGTGGCACAACTAATTTTACAATTTAGAGATTCATGAACTTTGTATCTTGCGCATTCTTTACTTGGAATACTTTTTCTTTTTTTAATTTCCATTTCCTTCAAACTATCCATAATCCAAACAAAGGAATTACTTTCTTTGGAATTGGTTTCCATTTCCCGACCGCTTTCCTTCATTGACCAAACAAGAGAAAGAGTTAGGATCTTCAAGGGAATCACTTTCCATTTCCTCACTGCTTTCTTGGAACCAAACAGGGCCTAAATGTGCAGGGTTTTAAAATTTAGAAATTCATGAACTTTATATCTTCGTAATCAAATCAGTTGGGATTCATATCTTTTTTTTTTTTTTTGAGGGGAGGCTTTTGTAGAAAATTAGCAATTTAAAATTGTAAGAATACAATGGACAACATTGGAAATTAAAGAGAAAATTACATATTGCCATCAAGCAAAAGAATTTGTGACCGCACAGTATTTTAGTTTCAGAAGGATTTTGACAAGGGAACAGGGCTAAACATCTATAAGCTGGAAAGCAGTTTAAAGACCCAACCCCCTTCCCAACCTCGCCACCACCAACCTCAAAAATAATACATAAATCATAAATGCATTATATATATATATATATATATATATATATATATATATATATATAAACTGATGGCCCCCATAGATGCAACTTGCAAGAACACTAATCAAACAAGAAAGTAGTGCATTAGGTATAGTTCAGTACGATTAGTGTCTAAATCTAATACCATATTCATGTTAGCATTGTATAAACCACATTAGATACAATTTATCACAATATACAAAAGATGCACCATGGCACACATATATACTTCATGAACAAGAACAGCTAATACCTGACCATCTCCGGACCTTGGGATCAAATTGACCTTTTATACCAACTTAAAACAACTTAACGATCAGAAGAACAAGCAGTAAAAGTACCAGAAAGTCAGCGCTCTTCTTTTCCATTGCCCCCAGGCGAATCATGATTTTGTTGAACATTTCCTCCCATTAACGCATCCCCTTTAATATCCACCCATGAAAATGCAGCTAGAATCTACTACTTTTTCAACTGAATTATGGTAACATAACTGTTTATGGTCTGTTCTCTTGCTGTATCCCGTAAATTCCATCTTTCTGCATAGACAAATCAAAGACCGCTGATTCTGAATCTTTAGCTTTCTCCCTACCATTAGGCCTCCTCCTACTGTCTTTACAGTTGGAGCTCATTCCATGATCTGTCCATGAACCCTCCCTAACCTGTCCAACTTTTGTTGAATCACCGAAGTTGACATTTCCATTATGATTCTTTCTTAGCTTACTTCTCCAATTCTTCCCCCTGGAGCCCTCATTGGACAGATTATTCAAGTTCTTTTCGTTTGGAGTACTTAAGTTCTTTTCCCCGTTCGCCCCATTTCTCCTCTTCTTAGCATGTTTGCCATTAATCCCGTGCTCAAGAAGTGCCGTTTCATGATCACCTTCCTCCGCGGAGCCCCGACCCAAGTCAAAATCGGAATTCCCGCCCCACAACTCATCATCAGACATGTCATCTAAATTCTCAATTTTCCCATAAGGCTTGACGCTATGAACGACCCCTTTAGGGAAAAACCGAGATGAGGGAAGCCCGTCGTGGGATTTGAACAGTTCCGGGCCATCCCTATCAGACCACATATCGAACCCACCGGGTTTCTGGAAACGATCAGCCAATACCTTCAACTGCTCATCAGCGGTGACGGAGAACAAAGTAGGAGGTTTCTCGACAACCTCCCAAGGTCTCTCGAGCTCGGAAACGGCGGCTTTGAGTTCGGCCCGCTTTCGCATCTCATAGATTTGGCGTTCGCGGGCCAAGCGGGCCTTGAGGAGCTGCTTAGCTTTCTTGGCCTGCATTCGCTTCCACTGCCACTTTGAAACGCCTCCTGGGTATGTTCGGGGCCCACCACCCATCCTAATCGTCGTCGTTCTGAAGGGATGGCGTGTGGTTGTGAGAGAGAGTAAAGATAATCTGGTGGTGAGGGTGGAGGCGGGTAAAAATTGAACATGGGTCCGACCCGAAATGGTTCCGAGGGACGAGAGATGAAAATTTGGAGGTGGTGCCGGGTTCGAAAGAGATGTGCAGAGCGTTGCCATTAATTAGCTTCACTATTAGGCTTTTCACCGTTACACTTACCTGCTAAGATTAACGGTAACGCCCAATTTCTACACCGTTGACAGCTGACAGGGTGAAGACTGAACTGGAGAATTAAGAATGCAGGACTGAAGATGGCGATGCGATGGAAAAGCTCTTACTCTACTGCGATGAGGACGACGCTCTTGACCCGGAGGGTGAACTTTTGGACTTCCCTTTTTTTTGGTTGGGGGCCCGGGGGGTGTGCGGGGAAATAATTTGGGCCATGGCCCGTTGGGGTCCGGCACTGGTATGCTATAATACTGTAGATCGATCCTCCGTCCCCAAAATGTCAAGACATTATAGTCTAACATGGCAGCCCCTCTAAACACAGCACCGCCCGCGCCCCCCCTCCCCCCACCCCAAAACATACCCACGTCACCCATAAAAACACAACCCAAAATAAAAAAAAAGGCCTTGAAATGGATATTTAAATAATTATTGCCGTGGTAAGAGTTAAGAGATGGAGGGAAGTAAGTGAAAAAAAAATGTTTGTTTGGAAAGAATATTAATTGGGTATGTTTGGATAGGGTATTATTTGAAATAATTACTGTAGCACTTTTTATGATGTGATGTATATGAGATAAAAAGGTAATTAAGAATATAAAAATGTGGGTTGGAAAATGTGTTTATGATGCAAGCGAAATATTATTTGGGATAATGGAACTATCCAAATAAATTCATTATTTGAAATAATTACTGTAGTACTTTTTGTGACGTGATGTATGTGAGATAAAAAGTAATTGAAAGTATAAAAAGATGGATTAAAAAATATGTTAATGATACAAGCGAAATATTATTTGAAATAATAAGATATCCAAACTATTTATTGGTTGTTTTCAACTAAACGATTTATGCATTACACTTTGAAGGTTTGACATTTTTGTTTTACATCTAACATACGTTCAAACGTGTTTGCGTAAAAAAATGTTAAATCCTACACTACCATGTCAAACACTCGGGAGTAAATAATCCAATGAACAATGTGCAGCCCTTTAGCATCTAGATAGTCCTTTTACTTTCTCTCCATGTATCCCTTGAAAACGGAGGGGGCAGAAAAGTAAAAACAGTACAAATGTCTGTCTCATACCAACTGGAAATGTAATGGATTCGGAAATTAAGCACCAGCGTTCAGCACCAGTGGTCTAGTGGTAGAATAGTACCCTGCCACGGTACAGACCCGGGTTCGATTCCCGGCTGGTGCAAATCCTTTTTTTTTCCGACTGACTAATCCGGCCATTCTTCTTTTTTGTAGACTTGACTATGACATATTACTGACAGAGAGTACTTTGTCCAAGCAAAGCCTTTTATGACTGATTCTGCTTCTAAATATTCATCCCAAGTCAAGTCGAACTGGTCTCACATCTAAATTTCATTTGCGGACCTTGTGGTTGTGGTGATCCGTTTGGAAAAATCAGTGTGTGTTGTGGGCTTGTACATTAGTATTAGTCTCCCTGCAAATGTCATTGTTCTGTTGCTTCCCTTTTTCAATAATATAAAATAAAAAGCATCAATTGTACAAAGTGTAATATTAATGTCATTCTTTATTTCTTAATAACATTTATTTTTATTTTTTAAACATGTGAATTACACAAGAATAGTTATATTCTCAGTTGACGTTGAATTTACAATCACCCTTATTGTGAAACCGAAAATAAAATAAAATAAAATAAAATGTAGGACCATTCTTATCTTTCGACATGAATTTAAAAAAAAAAATGGTCAAAAGCAATGCAATTAACAAACTGAGGGCTATTAACATTTCCTTCGTACAAAGAAGTATCATACATAATGTAGCAACTTTTTAGCTCTACTTAATGAGTTTCATAGGCTCTATTTTCCTTTTCTCCTTTTCTAGGTTTAGGCTTTTGACCCTGCGTCCGGCTATACGGTGGAGCAACTATAATATCTGAGGCCACTGATGTCCGGCTATACGGCTATACGGCTTTTTTTTTTATTTTATTAGTGGACTTTGTTCCTACAGCGAAGCACCACGCGAGTTTTGTTCAAATCGAATTTATCTCAGTGCAGTGCAGGAGACAATCTGTGACAGGAATTGCTCGTCTAATATAATAGAATTGTTTCTGTCACTTGCCTTGGCTTCCAGTGCTTCCAGGTAAAACAAATCATCTTTTGTTTCCGACAGCCAGGTTGGCACCTGGTTAATTCAAGACGGTATCAAAATGATAAAATTTGCAGCAGCTGCAGCTTCCTTTGTCGAATGTCGATCTAGCAATGTGGTACTGATAGAAATTGTTAACGGTGTTTCTGATCTAAAAGCCAAAGTTCCAGCCAATTCTCGTGGGTGAACGAAATTTCAGGTTGCGTGCCGGGGTACTCCACTGAATAAGCAAATAATAGCCTCCTGCAATTTGGAACAATGAAGCCGTAGGAAATTTACGTACCAGATTGCTGTCGGCTTGTTGCTTGATATTGGAACAATGAAGCCATAGGAAGTTGACTTTGGGATATGGGATTCTTTAATCACACCAGTCCATTGTCCTGATGTTGCTTTGGTACCAAGAGTAACTTTGTTAAGCGGATCTGTAGCCAAAAGCTTTCTGGCCTTTGCAGGTGTGGGAATTTTTCACTCAATCACAGACAACATGCAGGACCCTCTTCTGCTTTCTTAGAGTGCTTCTTGTTTTTATGCTATATGGTGCATGTATCAGAATTGTGAATTCGGACGGAAATAATTGGATTTAGTTTCGGCGCTTTGCTTGCATTGTCTCCGACCAAAAGATGGAACAATCTAAGTCCAGATTCTGTTTCCTATTTTCTTACTAATGCAGGAACCGAGGTTAAAACTTCAAACCTGTGCTCTGTATCTCCGCCTGGGATCCAATTCAACCATGAAGATACCTTCCAGGTTGCACTTCAATTTGCCCATGGCTATGGATACCGACATGGACAAAAGTTTGAAAATATTGAATCACAATTCATATCCAGGAATCAATTACTTACGGGAAACAACTCTTAGTCGAAAAGTAAGATCCATTTTGGACTATAAAAATTTTTATGCCGGAGCTCTGGTTCAGAAAATAAAAAACTGGAAGAACCAAAGAGAATAATACTCCAATTGTGGATGCCGAGGGCTAGTGATACGTTTAATGCATTGCTCAACGGAAAGAACTTTCGGTATGCTGATGTCTGTGTCATCCTGATCAAGTAAAATTTATGACGAAAATCCTAGCTCAACTACGAAATGGCCAACCTTTCCAATGAGAATTCGACAGCCATTATCAGCAGCGGTGGTGGCTCGAGTTTCCAAAGTGCCTTCGCTCTTGGGGATGGTTCTCGTAGAGACCCCCACCCCCGGGGAACAAACATCTAGTAGCGCCTGCGGGGGACGGCTGCACCTTTTCAAAAGCATTAACTCATCATCTTCCAGCATATTTTGTACCCTTTTTTTTTTTTTGGGTGACAGTATGGGGTGGTTTTAAAAAGATGCAGTAATTTTCTCGGAATCACGCCTCCGCCACAATCGCATTGCAAGGATTTTAGTATTAAGCAAGACAGAAATCATGTTCCCAGTTGTCTTTGTGGAATATTATAATGCTTACACGTGTAGTTTCGTTGATTTCCTCCATTCTGCCGACAATAATGCAACAAATAATAGGATACTACGTAAACCATCGTCGAGTCGTAGGATAGGAACTTTCCAGCAAACTACAAAAAGCATTATTTCATCTTCTACAATTACTGTCCCCATGCACCGATACTATATATACGGCGGCGAAGCCCCGTTGTAATCAACCTGCATTGCCTGCCTGCACCGAAAGAAAGCATCTTCCCAGAGAAATATACACCACTCAGCAGTCAACAATGGCTCGATCTCTTCTTCTTTGCTTGATGGTTTTGTTGGATGCGTTACTGATCGTAACCGAGGCCGATTACGCGGCATCTTCGGTGGATCCACAGCCACCAGCCTCTAGCCCATCATACATCAAGGCAAGAAAACAAGAAGCATCTCAAATTCGAAAACTCGGAAAGCACCGGAACAAAGCCATCAGCTCCTCTGCTGCACCAGGATTGAGCCCATCGCAAGCGCCCCAAACCCAGACAAAAGAGAACTTGCATTTGCCGGAAGCAATAAGCTCCTTGGGTGAAAAAAGTGCGACTGCCCAACTTCAGGGCACCCGTATGACGCAGCAACACCACCACTCATTTGACAAATCAGTCGCTGGTGGCGGAGTAATCCTTGGTGGCTTGGGCATGGCATTTTTAGTCGCAGTTGCCTTCTACATTAGAGCTACCAGGAGGAGGAAGACAGAGCCAGTTGGTCCTGTTGCTGGGTTTGCCAAAGTGTGACTCGTTAATTAGGCTCTCCGCACATAGATGCACGAGGAAAACTCCACCACCCGGAAAAAAAAAAAAAAAAACTCCTTTTTTCAATATACTGTAAAGCACATACTGTAGGATTTTTTATTCTGCAAAACCTTGTTGACATTGAGAAATGAGAGATTTAATCCGTCATTTTCTAGCTTGCTGACATTTTTTGGCACGACTTCGTAAGGTAATTTGGATCTCGCAACTAAAAACCGTTGAGGTTCATTTCACTTGCCACTATACCACTGAAGGGAGATTTGTAACTGATGAAGAGGCGAACTTACTAACGGGCACGCAACTATGGAGACAAAGCTAATTGCTTGATGCCTGCTCCATTTGCACACTTGATCAGTTACCTTTTTTTTTTTTTTTTTTTTTTTTTTAGGCAACAACAGTCATATAACCTAAAGGGAAGGGACGGATGGTGGGTGTCAAACCACCAAAAATAAAATTTATATTAGACCTACTACCAAAACTGAATGAGTATAGTGGTGAATAGGGTCGTCTCCACAGGGAACAGGTAGGCAAGTCACACAGGTAAATGGGGGGGATTTTTAGCAGTAGTACCAACTAATTAAAAAGGAATAAAAACTGAAATTTAAAGTTGATTAAGATAGCAGGAACCAAACTACACAAATAACAATTAATTAAACAACCTAGTCAAGGAATTAATCTTGGCACCGAAGCACACAACTGATCACAGATACACGGGACAATTCATATACTCACGAATAAACTGGTTATAGTGGTCAAGCGACGCGCCCAACCACCAATCTTTCCTTAATTTTATGGTAGTCAAGAGACGCTCATAAACTACCCTCTTGTGACTAGACAATCCCAGAAACGCTCACAGGATTTAATGTAGCCACAGCATTAGGAATTAGAAAGACCCAATTCTAGATGACAAACACACATGCGGGTTTATTTAGGCTAGATTAATTATCCCCACGATCCAAATTAAACCGCTTGCGAGGCGGTGAAATTGTCTCGTTTGCCACTAATCAAGATGCTTAA